TTTCACTAAGGGTCTGTTTCTGTTCAATTTGAAAAAAAAAATACCAGTTAATTTTTTGGCAGAGATAAATTGATTTGTAAACATATGTCCGTGCAATTGTTGTTCAATTATTTGCTATAAAAAAAAACCCGGTCATCTCGCTGGGTGGTCGGTAAGGTATGACGACACATTACCCATAATGATTTTTAAGGTCGGAAGTGTGTAATGACCTTTCTATCGTTGATTCTTATGCGCGAAGAAAGAAATATGTTTCCGAATATTATCAGCAATGCTGTATTATTGATGTCGATACTTCACGTTTTGTGGAAAAAAAAAAACCAAGAAGAAATATGGAACTTTTTAAGAAGTGTGGCTTCGCGGTTAGAGATCAAAAACAGTACAAAAATGAATATAAGGATTGACCCAAGGTCATAAGGTTAATGATGAATAACCGTCTAATGTGTTGCTGTTATAAAGTGCACCGCAATAAAATGTTATTTATCGTGCAAACAATGAATCGATTGCGTGTTTTTCTGCAACCCATTTTAACCGTTTATTTTAATCTGGTGAAGTTTCTGTTAACAAAATAAAAACGGTTAAATAAAAAACAGCAATATAACAGTTTTTTTCATGCAAACAGAAACAGGCCCTTAGACGGATTGAGCACTAGTGGTGGGAGGAGTTGAATCCTGGAGCTTAGAGTGTCTAACAATAGGCATAGAGAGCATGCAGCAGTGGGTACGGTACTTATTACTAAGCTTAATGTAGGCTGTTGAAAAAAGTAAACCCCACCCACCCCTAAACTTTCCGCGTCACCAATTCATATAAATAAATAACTTCAGTACGACGAGTAAAAAAAAAACAACTTTAATTTTATTTTATTTATAAACTCAAAAGCACACGTCCGCCCTCATTATTTTAAATCCCCACCCCCATGCGTTATCTTTCTATTTTTGTTATTTTCAAAATACGGCGGTCATAATTAGCGGTCAGTCTTCATAACAAAAAGAAAAATATGAAATAAAAGGAAAGTAGGAAAATATTGGGCAATAAACGATCAAATATTATACTGTAATATTATTATTTTAAATTAAAATTGAAACAATGCTCTGCATTATGGAAGACTACCAAGGAGTAAATTCAAGAAAAATATAAAGTAAAAGGAAAATGAGAAAAATATTGGTCGATGAACTATCAAAAGTTATACTGAAATATCCTTATTTTAAATTAAAATTGGAACAATGCTCTGAAAATTAAAGAAAATACCATCAAAGGCGCAATCACACTGTGAAGAATGCCTATTTTAAGAAATATCGCTCTAAAACGACAAAAATGTTGATTCGAATGTCATTTTATCTATAGTTTTGGTTACTCTAATAGTAACACCGTGGGTTATTGTTGAAGTAGTGCGTTATTATTATAGATTAATTTCTATAGTGGGTTACTTTTGGAGGGGAGTTACTAATAGAGCAATGAGTTATTTGCTTAAAGTTACGGTATAATAATTTGAACAAAACAAACATAACCCTATATACATTAAAGTAAAGTTTTCATTCTTAAATAGCTTTATATTGCGATTTGAAACTGCTTGTGGTATTTTGTAAATTGATTAGGAGCTCTAATACTTGACATCTGAGATTTTACAATACGCTCACATTTTTTTTTTCTTTTTATAAGAATCCACATTCAAATATGTTTTCATTAAGGGCGTCGTTTGGTCACCAATTTTATATCATTCGTCAAGCCTGCTGGAGCCAGCCCACGAACGTATTAATTTAGGCCCTATATAATTTAGTGCATAGTCCCTCCTCTCTTCAAAGGGTTGCCAATCCAATATAGTCAAACATTTTTGTAATGCGTGCACATCGTTTTTGCTGTTTTTAATTACGTTTTTGTTTTGTCAGTTGAATTTTCCCAAATCGTAACGACATAGTCCCTGGTTGACTGAATTGTAGATTTATGTATAAAATAACATATTAAGTAACATGTTATGTTACTTAATAACCTAGAGTTTTGCTTAATTCTTAAACATAATCATAGAAGATATAAAAATAACAAATATTTTTAACTTGTTATAAAGGATTCTTGCTTATAAAAATGTTAATTTTATTTTTGGGTTCAAACCTTATTATAACTGCATAACATTGTTTTACTTTTAGTTGAATTTAAATTGATATGGCTATCACAATACAATTTTGATTACACTATCCATTGTTTTTTGAAAAGCTGTATTAATATCATAAATAAATTTACCTGATTTTTCACTACAATATCATAAGCAAAAATGCTACAACTACCCGACTAAATGGACTGGGAAATTTCATTAATATGTAATAGAAATAAGACAGGGATAAGTAAACTTCCATGGGAGACGTCTATTTCTATATCATTCGGTCGAGATTGTGTATTATGTGTTAGGTAGTTTTTAAACCAATAAATTACATCGTGTTCCCGAGGCTGAAATAACAATATATTTGTATCAATTGTGTCAAAACATTCTGTCACATCAAGGGAGAAGACGCCGACGATTATAATTCTTAGTAAAGGTATATTCTACACTGTGTTGGCACACGATTATGGAATGATTTAAAGGAAAAAACATTTTTCCACACTTATTAAACCATGTCATTCTAAATATTTAAACAACTATTCTAAATTTCTTTCTCAACAACCTTTGCAATATGGCAAATTACAGATATTCCCGGTATTTTTTTTTAACCCATTGTTTTATGTATAGGCACATTTTTTTAGTTCTCCAACACCTAAAATTAAAATATTTAAATTATTAAAACTCTTGCAGTATCTAGAGTCTTTATTAAAGCGTTTGTAATAACAAAAAATAATCATTTTAGTTTATGTTTATATTTTTTTTTTAAATATTGTTACAAGTAAAAATAAGGTAATGGTCATTTAATGAAATTTTGCCAACGTGGGAAGAGCAACTCTCTGGAAAAGAAGTTTAAAAAAATATCAATACATGCACGGATTGGCTTAAGAATTAATTGAGTTCATGTTAATTATGTAAATTTTCCCAATCAAATTAATACGAATTTTTTCATAAATCGTTAGAACCAGTACCATTGTTGGCGCCAGAGGGGAAGGAAGCCTCCAACCTCATGTAAAGAAAAAGAGAGGGTTTCGTCTGGGAATAAAAACAAATTTAAAATAACATAGGTCTAATTTTAGTTTAGGCTAGGCATTGGGTTATGTGTTAAAGTTTTAAAAAGGGTACCCTCATGATGCTTGAATTTATTGTAGTCGTTTAAACAACTTCTAGTTTGGTTTGGACATTACAACAATTATAATTTCATTTTACAGCAGATTGGTGCATATAAAAAATTATTAAAATTCACTAAAATCAATCTAGACTGATTTCCGAACAGGACTCCCACCAAGGGCCCCTGGCTCTCAGCCTAAATGCTTGCTTCGCTTGCAAAGTCCCCCGTCAGGGCATTTTGTCCCTACGTCAAGCAGACCCTAGCGCCATAACAATTATATCAATATTTACACTATTTTACTGGTAGCTGCAATGCTTGTATTTTACAATATATTAATTTAATTTAAAAGTGCTTAGTTTTAACTTTTTGATTATAAGCACGATTGTATATTTTATTGGACTACCTTTTAATGTTATTTATCGGATTTATGTATTCATGTCTCATTTTTTTTTTTTTTATCATTAACACATTAATATTAGTCTTCTGCGATGACTTATAATACGTAACATGATCATTATTAAGTGGTTTGGTTTCTTAATAATTTTTAATTATAACTATTTATTTTATTATTTTTATCATTAACACATTATTATTTGTCTTCTGCTATAATTTATAATACATAACATGATCATTATTAAGTGGTTTGGGTGATGTGATTTGTTTCAACATTTACGTTTCCAGTCATATTTCTTCTGTATAGGCCTAGTATAACTTAATCACGAAAATAGCAATAAAATTTTTTTTTTTCCTTTTACTTCAATTGCAGTGAGTTTTCATGTAATAAATCCGGCCATCCAATTGAAAAGCTTTGTATTATTATCTTCCGACGGTGACAGATGGTTCTTTGGAAACTTTACCTCCCCTCTTCCGTACAATGTAAGTAACGTGGACGGTTGCGGAAATAACAATACTGTAAGAGGTCTATTTACACATAACCCAGTCATAAGATGGACTGTACCCTCAGATTTATATATACTACCACCATGCATCCTTCTAAGGTAAAACATATGTTGTGCTTGTCTTTCATTTCTTTAAGTGTGTGCAATATTTTTCTGTAAATATAAATTTAAAGGCAATAAGTGTAATAAGTATTTAAAAAGAACGTATGTAATATTAAATCAACTAATTGTATCGATAACTTGATTCTGATTGGTTAATACCATTTATCATTCTTTATGTATGTGTAAGATCTCCCAAGTTTTCTCACTTTAACGTTGATAAAGATAGCAGGAGCTATCGAAATATCCGTTTGATTTTGTTATAGCTTACACTGTTATTTTGAAGGAGTTATTTTAACTCCAAAGGAGTTATTCTGTACCTAAAAAAAGGTACAGAATAACTCATTTCGAGTTAAAATAATTCCTTCAAAATAACAGTGTAATAAATACAACGTTGTTTTGTCCTTTAATGACTCATCAGTGCAGCTCAGATAGGGGGTGGTCGGGGGTTCGAAACTCTCACTGTGCAAATCGCTTGTGTCCTTGGGCAAGGCACTTTATTTACGGTTGCCTCTCTCCACCCAGGAGTACAAGTGGGTACCTGGTAGGTTCCAACACAACTGCGGGGATTACTAGCCGCAATATGGAATAGTAATATAATTTAACTTAATAATTTAATTTGGTGTTCAATGTGTTCCATATGTGTTTGATCCAATGACCGGGGTAGTAATGTGAAGCGCTTAGAGGCTTTGCTAAGGCATTAAGCGCTATATAAGAACGACATATTACATTATAGATAAGTTTGAAACTTAGCTATGAAACAAGCAAGCTTATAACAAAGCAGTTTAAAAGCGCTCTTAATACCATGCCAAGAGTGCTCAAACTACATATAGTAGTGGGCCAGCTGAATGCAAAACAGCAATGGTACTATCTCAATAGAGTGCTCAACAAAACAAATGTTAAGAAAGTAGGCTATAATACATACTCCAAGTATTGAAATGCACGCCATCGTGTTGGGATTCAACAACATTAATTATGTCATCATCAGGAATGAAAAAAATTATCCATATTAGCAGCTTATATGCACTAGTACCAAAAGTGTTTAACCAATCAAAACCTCTAGTAGGTGACATAGCAGTGATTTAAACAAAAGATCAAAGCATTCTTACTCTACTGATCAAAGCTACCTACAAAAACAAAGAAAGCTCCTTTGAAGCTCTGAGCCTTGTTAAGCAAAGTGTGTAGTCTACATATAGCAAACGCTTCTTTAAACAATAGAATAGTCCAGTTTCGGGAGATGTCAATAATGTTAGTACTAGAAAATATTAAACCTAATTTATTACTTACATTACATACGACATTATCATTTTCAAGTATACCCTGTAAGCCTAAACCATATTGGAATGCCTCACAGTTTTTACCATGATCAAATATAATACTATCAGATCGAGAAGAATGTTCTTTAAGTCTAGTTATTAGCACCTATCTGTCTTAACAATATAATCATTATTACAGCCTGGACATTAAAAATGATATACAACAGAACTTCTGTACTCCTTAGGGGTTTGATCTTTAGTAGATATGAAATCAGAAACATTTTTATACTGCCATAAAGTTATAAATTTTACCTCTTTAATTAAGTGTTTCATTACTTTATTTAAACATCTACGTAAAATGAATTCACCTGTTTTTCCTAGATAAGGAAATCTAACTCTAATCCTAATTAAGCTATCATCAGTAGGCCTATGTATACATTTAGGTTCATTTAATTTCTTAAGTACATTATTAACAACTTTTAAAGGGTACCCATTCCAAGACATAAACTTCCTAATGTTACTAAGCTCTGCTTGAAGTTTATCAGGAGTACATAATATGTGGGCTCTAGAAACTAAACAACGAATCCAGGAGATCTTATGGTTCCATGGAGCAAAGCTATCATAATGGACATATTGACCTTTATGTGTATTTTTACGATATAGAGTCATTCCAGAATATGAATCCAACACACTTGTTTGCCGACCCCCTTCAAATCGCCCAATATTTTGCATGTTGGGGGTTCTACATGAGATAACCCCACAGTGAAATTTTTGGCTCCGCGCCAGCATTTTCCGATCAGTTCGAGCAATTTGAGCAATTTATACAGTGTTTAATAAGGACATGATGGAACATCGTATGCTACCCTGTAGCTTTTCAACGAATAAAATCCTATAAAAATTCATTGTGTAATGAAATGGCTCCGAAGGGATTCGAACCCGCGACCTCTCGCTGACAAGGCGAACGTCATAAGGCTTCATGGTTGAACAGGTCCAAATAACCGTCGGGAACATTGTATTACACAATGGTACGCCTCAAGAGGGCGTTCGACCAGATAAATCTGGTGATACGGCTAGAAATAATTCTCTTATACACATCT